TTCTCATTAGTACTTATGTATAATTATGGAAACTCTTAAGTCCAAACTCTTTTATAATAATTTTTGGCTAATCTGAAAGCTGCCTACCTGGTAAAATTGGAGGAAACTGAGGCAAGGGACTGCCTCCAACTAAGGCACTACAATCCCAATTTCAGTAAGCCAAATTCCTAATTTAGAGGAATCTCAGTAAATTATATAACCGAGCAATGAACTTAAGTATTATTAATCAAAGGAATAAGCTTTTCCTGCTGAGGAGACCATGGGGCATCTTAGCATTGCATGAAATGGAAACAGCCATGAATTATTTTTTAAAGAAATATGTATATCTGTACACTTAGTATTTCTACTTCAAAAAAGTTTTGCAAACAATTACAGAATTCATCGTGACTCACTCAAAGTGGATGATGTTTTGTGATTTGAAATAATAATATATTTCCCCCAGGTTCTTAGATTAGGTAGAATTCCAAAAAATGTCTGAACAAAATAAAGTTCTCAGACTAGCGTTTTCCAGCTGTTATCTCCCCCTTTCATTTTTTTATTCATATTTGTTTTCAGTACATGTTCTAAAGACTGTTTCAGAAAATATGTATAGTGGTTCCAGCTACTCTCATCTATTTTTCTGGCTCAATTGCACCATATTATGATAAAGGGTGCAACATCAGTTGTAGGAATAGAAAGGAGGATCCACACTGAAGCATTTTCCTAGAAAATTAGCTGCGAAGAAACATATTACGGAAATTACATGCACATTTCCTAACCTAGTATTAAAAATCCAAGCCCTTTAGTCCTTTCTCTTCCTTTTTACTTTTCCCTTTTTTAAAACACTAACTATTTTAAAGTATAGTTCAGTGGTGTGTTAGTCACATGTCCATTGCTATGACAGAACACCTGCGAGCAGCATACTTACATGACAAAAGACTTATTTTTGTTCATGGTTTCAGAAGTTGCAGTCTGTGGTCCCGGAGCCCTGCTGCCATGGGCTTTGATGAAGTAGGACATTGTAGCAAGGAGTGTGGTATGAAGCCAAACTGCTCGCTTCCTGGTGGCTGGGAAACCGGGAGATAGACTGAGAAACAGGAAGTGTCCTGGGACAAAACACACCCTTCCAAGGCATTACCCTGCCCCCCCCACTTCCTTCTGTTATGCCCCATCTCCCAAAGTTGCTGTCATTTTCCAGCACTGCATTAAATTATGTCCATCAGTGAGTTAATCCATTGGTGGTATCAAAGCCCCAGTGATCCCGTCGTCTCCCCAAAGCCCTGCTCTGGACGTCGCTACGTGAGGACCAAGCCTTCACTGTATGAGCTTCTCGGGTTCAAACCATAGCAAGTGGCATTAGATACGTCTCAGTGTCCTTCACCTCCTCCCCCACACGCCTTTTGATGAACCTCGAGCTCATCCTGTACCTGTAGATTCTAAAGGAATAGAACGGTCTTTCCCAGACAGAGCCTCCTAAGAGACAGCTTTACCCTTGCATATGTCACTGGCAGCTGTGGTAACTGTTAGGGTTGATACATTGTGTCAACTTGGGGAGTCTAGAAGTTTGGCTAAGTGACTCAGCAGTTCTACATCCTGGGATGAAAAGGACATGCCCTTCCTGCTCTAGGATATTGTTCATTGTGTCAATGTGAGAAGTTTAGAAGGTTAACTGTGAGAGTGCCGCCCCCTGGGTGGGGGTCACCTGCTTACAACATAAGGGAGGGAGAGAGGCTTGCATGCACTGCCATTCCCCCCTTTGCTCTTGTTGCTATGTCAGTCTGCCTCGGAGCCAGCCAAGTATGGACTGAAACCTCCACAAACTGTGAGCTAAATAAACCTTTCCTTCCTTCATTTTGGGCGTTGGGTGTTTTGTCCTAGCAATAAGAAAAGTAACCAAGACAGTAACCGCAGCTGAAAAAAATAACAGTGCTAGGATTGGGGATTTGAAAGACTAAAACGGTGTTCGACTGTGCTGTGCCCTGTGCCATCATACAGTGTGTACAGACAGTAGGACTTCAAAAGCAGCAGGCTCACCAGTAGCAAGCAGTTATTTAGCAGTAGCTATGGGGGTGGTTGAAAAATACAGTGAATGTTTAAATTGGGGGAAAAATGTGTTATAAGAGACATTGCCATTAGCCCCCCTCAGGATCTGCTCCCTTGATTTGAACACACTTATCCTGTCATCCTTGTCATTTTCTGAAGTAGTTTTGGAAGTTCTCTTTGGTGTCTTTATGAGATGCTCCACGTACAGTGAACAGTGCTGCTGAGGGCAATCTCATTAAACGGTAGGCTCATAACAACACCATGGTGCCGGGCATGGTGGTGCATGCCTATAATCCCAGTGCCTGGGAGGCTGAGGCAGGAGGATTGTTGCAAGTTTGAGACCAGCCTGCGCTGCAAAGTGAGCTCAAGGCCAGGCTGAACTGCATAGGGAGACCCTGTCTCAAAAAGATTAAAAAAAAGCACACACGCACTGTGGTGAGTCCTCATCCATCCACGTTATTCACCTGATTTGGTGCCATGTGACTTCTGACTCTTCCCTGAAGTCAAAATGACCATGAAAGGTAAATGTTCTAATCAATTCAGGATATCAAGGCAGCCAACCACATAGTGCAACTAGCAACTAAAGACACTCGTATGTGTAGAATAACGGGAACTAAGAAAACCCCCGCCCTACTGGACTGAGTAGGAAGAAAGGATATGAACATAAATTGTGTGTACATAGTATGTGTGTATAAATGAATGATAACCCAGGCCTTGAGGAATATGTTTCCGTAGGCTTCACAAACTGGAGTAATTTCTGCAAACTGGGACGTTAGCTTTAATTGTTCCAATGACTTGGCCCTCATGTAATATAAATTTTAATTCAAATACTGTGAAATAAAATGTCATTAGAAAATCTCACTTTATATGCAAAATTTGAAATTATGTGATGTACAAATTTGCACCAATTACTTGATTCAAGAGCTCATCATTTTTGAAATTTTTTTGAAAAGCAGTGCAAAGATAAGGTAATTTCCAAAGCCAGTCTGTGTAATTGTTTCTGTTAGTGCCACGTGGAAGCTTCACTTAGGTATAAAGAGAAAAAAAAAAAAGGAATACCCAATGGCCTTCGCCAGTCCTCTGGGAAAATAGGTTCTGAATTATGAGAGCTCTGACTAATGAGTGTGCCTCGGGAGTGCATTTCTCTATTAATTGCACTATCCTTGTGCTCTGAAGCCTTTGATGCTCTCGGGGGCAACTGGACAAATCAGTCCGCACCATTTTCTTCTTTTTCTGGAGGAGGCACAGCCGCTCTAATATAACTGCACAGAACTTCCTGCAGATGAAATGGAAGTATCCTGTAAAATATAAGCCTTTTGTATGGAAGCTCAGCTCCCAGGAAACCTCTGGTGCTAAAGATGAGAGACCATAGCTTGTGGCGCGTATCTCATTTTTAGTTCCTATCAATGGGACCAATACAGTATTTGAAAAGCAGAGCCCCACATGGATAAGACACATATGCTATTGAGACAGTTTGAGATCTCGCTAATGCAGTGATGAGGGTTGGGGATATGTCTCACTGAGAGTGTCTGCCTAGCACTCTGCGAGGCCCCGGCTTTGGTACCCAGTACCACAAGCTAGGGGGTGTGCTCAGCAGTTCAGAGTGATGGCTAATCCTGACACTGGGGAGCATGGAAAAATCCATTCAGTTCAACCATTGCCCATTTTTAATAAAAACCTGTAGTTCATGCAGCAAAACTGAGTTGACCTGAAAAGACTATTCCATTTGTCTTTGTGATTAATCCAAACAGTAGCTTTAACTGACATTTTTTTTCTTCCAGCATTGTTTATCTGGGTTAGCCAGATGTGGTGGTGCAGGCCTGTTATCCCAGCGTTTGGGAGCCTGAGGCAGAGGATCACTGTGAGTTTGAGACCAGCCTGGGCTACAAAGTGAGTTGAAGGCCAGCTTGAACTACATAGCAAGACCCTGTCTCACAAAAACAAAAAAAAAAAAGAAAAAAACCCCTATATTTGGGTTCAAATGCATTTCAAAAATGATGAGTTCTTGAATCAAGTAATTGGTGCAAATTTGCATATCACTTATAATCTGTATGTCACATTATGTCAAAGGTGTAGCAATCACTTGTGCTATTATGTCCCCCATTCTGAGTTGTTTAACATATTCAATTCATGTATCCTGTAAGATTCATTGGTCAAGGGACTTGAATTAATCTGAAAATTACTGATGGATGGGCCTCTCCAATAAACCTAAACTCGTCTTCTGCACTTAGATCAGACCCAGTAAAATTCATTTATTTATTCATTTATTTTTTGTGTTTTTGAGACAGGATCTCACTGTGCAGTTCAGGCTGGCCTGTCTTGGTTACTTTTCTCTCACTGCTGGGGTAAAATACCTGACCCCCAGAATTAAGGAAGGAAAAGTTTATTTAGCTTACAGTTTATGGAGGTTTCAGTCCATACTTGGCTGGCTCCGAGGCAGAGTGGCACATGGCAGAGGGCAAACATGCATGGCGGTAGAACACAGCAAAAGCAACAAGAGCAAAAGGGAGGAATGGCGGCAAGCAGCCTCTTTCCCTCCCTTACACTGTAAACAGGCTACCCCCACCCACGGGGCATGTAGCATGCACATAATCTCCATGCCCTCCTCTTGCACAGGCTCAGGATGCACACAAAGTAAGCACCCTGGCTCCCTGCTGAGTCACTTAGCCAAACCTCTATACTGTCCAAGTTGACACAGTGTATCAACCATAACATGGCCTTGAGCTCACTTTGTAGCCCAGGCTGGTCTCAAACTCACAGCAATCCTGCCTCAGCCTCCTGAGTGCTAGGATTACAGGCATGTGCCACCATGCCTCGCTCAAAGTATAGTATTTATAGTCAGAATGAGGACTTCACCTTCAGGGATGGTTGTTGCCTTTAGGCTGGGAAGCAAGCTGGGCTCCCGGTTGCAAGGCGTTTCCAGTGCCGTGCTAAGGCAATTGACCGCTCTTTCACTCCTGTTCTCCACTGTCTTGCAGACCGGATGACGTGCTCCTGCACCGCACTCACGATGAAATTGTCCTCCTGCACTGCTTCCTCTGGCCCCTGGTGACCTTTGTGGTGGGTGTTCTCATTGTGGTCCTGACCATCTGTGCCAAGAGCCTGGCGGTGAAAGCAGAAGCCATGAAGAAGCGCAAGTTCTCCTAAAGGCGAGCAGGCTTGTGGGAAGCAAAGCACAGAAGCTGCCCGTGTAGGTGCCCGCGCACCCGCAGAGCCCGCGTTTCCCGGCGCAGGAGATGGAACGGGCCACGGCAGGTCTCTGAGAGGCTCCTCCCTCAGTGGCAGCAGAAACAGGCACAACTGGAAGACTTAGAACCTCATAGCTTATATTCCATGTGTCCTAGTGAGGGTTAAGGGTCAAGCCCTTAGCTATATGGAGTAACTGTTGCAAAAAACCCAATAAGAAGTTGATTTTCTTTGGAAAGTAACAGTATATTACTTGTATAGTGTAGTATACAAACCATTATGACTTATGCTACTTAAAAATATTAAAAGAGAGTGGTCTGTGTTCTTTTCTATTTCCTTTTTTATTCTTAGAACACTAAGGTTTTAAAAAAAAGATTTTCTGTTTCTTATTTGACTGTAGATTTAACTTTTACTTAATAATAGAATTCCTGCAAAACTCGACTCTACTGCATAACCTTCAGTTTCCAGGATTAAAGAGTATCTTTCGACACCTGCTTGAACAAGGTAACTCCTTCTCCACTCACTCCTTTCTCTTTCCCTCAAGGGTAGGGAAAACGTTCTCCACTCTCTGACTTTGCCTTGCTGGTGTTGTTCACCGCGTTCCTTCTTTGGAGAGGAGGACTCTGAAGAAGGCCTGTCCGATCTCTGAGAGCCCAGAGCTTCTTTATTCATCTGTTTGTTATTTTTGATGGATTTTTATCTTGGTGCAATAAAATATACATGATGTGAGGGAGACTTCAGTTTATAGTTACATGTTGTTTTCATTTCTCCTTTCTTTTAGGTCAGGGAACAATTTAAAGTCAGTTCAAGCATTTTGGTTTTCTTTGTCCTTGCCTTAATGTTTTGGGTTTTACAATAGGAAGATTACAGCAGCTGTTCTGAGGAACGTGGACATGGCGTTACAGTTCCACTGCTGTTGCTGAGCTTTCTGTGTCTTGATCAAAAGTGCACTGAGGAGAATGTTCTTTGCTTTTGTTCATAAATTCAAATTCCAAATATCAGTCACAGGTCTCAGCGAATATCAAACCTACCGTATTTATTTACCACCTGGAATCAATTCTTTGTTTAGGGGGCTGGGGACTTAGCTCAGTGACACAGCACCTGCCTGGCAGCGTGAGGTCCTGAGTTCAATTCCCAGTACCAGAAACAAAACAAAAAAAAACAAACTAAAAAAAAAAAAAATCTTTGTTTAGATGAAATGTATGTTTTTAGTGGAGGAACAGCTGACACCATAATTTTTTTTTCTTCTCCAACAGATACTCTGTTAGAATAAGGGCAAAGTAGAATTTAAGGACAAGTTCCTCAGTTATTTCCACAGGGCTTTAAAACATCTGTGTTAATGCAAGGAGGCTTTCTTTCAGTCTGCATACTCGTATTTTCAAATTATCAAGGGTGTCCCAGAACCCTGGAGGAATGTTCGATGAGTACAGTCACCGTTTTTGTTTTATTTAAGTGGTACAGGCCTGTGAAAAATGGCCTTGGACACATTGTATGTGACATCCTTTGAGGCAGCTAACTGCTTTGACTTCAATCCCAGTTTTCTGCTGCAGGATCCTTGTTGTCTTAGCAACACAGCGACCTATTCTGAAGCGTAGACTAACAGGAAACTGGGAATCGAGAAAATCATCATCTTTGCATCACATGGTGGGAGATGAAGTCACTTTATCCATTCTATCTTTATCCAGTTATGTATGCTTCAATGATTGCAGAGAGTAGGTCAAACTTAGTAGTGTATGGACATGCGTCTCTGTTAGAAAAAAGAAATTGACATATCAGTCTGAGTTTTCATTTGTCAGTTTGAGACTTATGATTTCTGTTAACCAGATACTTCATTTAGCTCCAAGGAATGTATACAGCTATATTCTGTAGGCTGATTTTTGGAAAAGAGGAAAAGTATACAGAATGCATGAGGTCCTGTTTAGGTTTAGGGTCTGAGTTGTTTGTAACCAGTTAAATTTGAGGCTCCTTATTTGTACCGGGTTTATTAGTCAGCATTCTCACTGCTGGGACAAGATACCTGATATCTGCTATGTAAATGAGAGACTTAAGTTTGCTCACAGTTACAGAGGGGTTAGTCCTCAGTCACCTGACTGTAAGGCAGGACCATCATGGCAGAAGGGTGTGAGGGAGCAAAGCTGCCCAGTTCACGGCAGCCAGGAAGCAGAGGACAGGAGGAGAGCACCAGCAAGAGGTACATCCTCGGCCCAGGTGGCTCACCTCCGGCTGCGCCCCGCCTCCTAGCAGTATGTTCAGCTATGAATATCAGTGGATTAATCCCTCCTAATCCGGTCACCTCTCTGGGAGTCTCCTCATCCAGTGAGCTGACAATTAAGATTAATTGGCACACTTGCCCCGTAAAGGTAAAGCCAAAAGAACAAGAGGAGGACACTTTAAGATTGTAAAAGATCAAGAAACCTTAATATTTTCATTTTCTTGTTGTAGGGCTGGTATCTCAAAGGGCCCCAGGATACAATGGCTCGTGTAAAACAGGTTTATTTCTCCCTCGTATGACTACCCCAGAGTACTGTCATAAATGAGTCGAGAGCAAGTTGGCCATCTCTGTTTCACAAGTTAACTAAAAGACCTAGGATTTGCCTGCCTTTTTTTCTTCATTACCAAGGGACTTGTGTATTCTATGGTCACTGCTGCCTTGAAGGACTTCCTCTTTGCACCTTGGAAGAGAAAGTTGAGAGCAGGCTATTTCCTTTCTGGGAATTTTGCGCATCACTTCTGTCCATGGTTCATTCATCAGCACTTACTAGAGCCATGTCTAGCTTCAAGGAAAGCTGACACTTGTTATCTTCAACTAGACAAGTGTCCTACCAAAACTCGGGCGGGAAGGGCGAGTTCTATTACTAAAAGGGAAAATGGGAGTGGACAGCAGTCCGTGGCGCATGCCATGATGAAAATCTGTTGAGCAGGCATGCAGAGATCCTGTGCTCTGGCAGGGAAGAATTCCTCGGTCCAGTGTCCTCCTGGCCCCTCGTTCAAGCTCCAGGAAATTCTTGCTAACCCAACCCCACATCCACTTTAAGAGGTATCATAGCTTTTGCAGCCCCCTTGCCTACCCTTTCTGCTGGTGCAGATTTATAAACCTAAATTGCCTTAGGAATTTAAACCTTAGGATTAAGCAAACATACTTTTATGGGCCAGGGTTACCATTTACTTGGCTGTCCTGAAGACTCAACTCCATTTTTAATGTTTGATTTCTGACCACTTTTAAGCATCACCTTTCTCCTTGCATTCCATAGCTGGGTAACAAAGCTGATAAAAGCCTGGGCGGCTCCTCTTTGGCCTCAGTGAGAAGTTTAAATCACACAAACCTGGGCTGCTGGCAGGAATCTTCACCTCACCCTCACACCCAAGAACAAGAGACTGCAAGCCAGTTTAACCATTTCTAGATCCACTTGGGAACCTGTTCTGTTTCCCTAGAAAGTCTCAGCACGTGAATAATAAACCTGTTTGCAGCTTCTTGGGTGTGTGTGTGTGAAATTTTCAGCCACAGCATCTGAACTCAATTCATGATGCTGTACGTGACTTTTGAGTGGTGGTGGAGTATCGCCTAGAATTTTAAGGGTGATCACAGCATTCATGATGCAACACTGTCAAAAACAGTAAGAATGCCAGCGTGGCACATACTTGTAATCTTAGCACTCTGGGAGGTGAGGAAGATCACAAGTTCAAGCCCATCCTGGGCAACTTAGCTATTAAGCAAGACTCCCATCTCAAAAAATTTAGAAAAAAAAAAAAAATTAAAACGATGGGGGACCGGCCATGTAGCTCAGCGTGAAGGCTCTGGGGCCATTCACTAGCACCGCAAAAACAAACAAAGCCACTACAGTAGGTCTTTGGTCCATTTACTTTCAGTCATTTCATATAGAAGTAGCGATAGCCAAAGAGCTATTCGGGTTATAGTTCTCCAGCCTGCAGTCACTGTTTACCTGTACATCTCTACCTCAGTCTAATGGCAGCCACCTTGAAGCTTTTTGGAGCAGTGAGTTTAAGTGCAAATGCAACACCCTTCAATCCAGTCTCTTCTACCAAACTGATTCCCTTGTCTGGCCAGTAGTAGGTAATGGAGACTCGTAGAGAAGACGAAAATAATCACATCTCCTGCTCTTTGGAGTACACAAGCAGGTTAACTTCAGGGCATAACCACAGCTTATGTAAAAAGCTATGTTAGCTACTTGCAAGCTATTTTTAAATTTAATTTTTGCTTTTTTTTTTTTTATCTCACTTCAACTAGTTAGCATATGCGTTTAGAGTCTGGCTGTCATTTGTGCACTTGAGGCTCATATCCTGGAGGCTTGGTCTTCAATGCAAAGGGGTTGAGGTCGTGGAGCCACAGCCCCCAGGAGGGATGCGTTCACGGAACTGGATTGGATTCCGCAAGAACAGATGTAGTAAGGGAGCCTAGCACCTTTCCTGAAACGTTCTGCTGCTGGTGATCATTTTACGTAATGGTTTGTTAAAACATAGCAAAGGCCTCTAGTTTTCCATCCTGCAGTGTGTTTCCTCACTGCTGCTTGGCAATAATTCCAAAGCCACACGTTTTCAATTTTAGTTACAATGGCACTTTTCCATCTCTGTGTGGAAAACTATGTAACAAAATCCAAGCTAGGCGTGGTGGTGTACACCTGTAATCCCAGCACTTGGGAGGCTGAGGCAGGAGGATCCTTGCGAGTTTGAGGCCAGCCTGGGCTGCAGAGTGAGACCCTGTCTCAAAAAGACAAACAAACAAACAAAAAAAAAATCCAAAGAACCCAAGTGAGAGAAATGTGTTTTTCACAGTTTTGGACACTGAAGTCCAAGATCAAGATGCCAGCAGTGTGAATGTCTCCTGGGCCTTCCTCCTTGACTAGCAGAGAGCCCTTCTTTCGGTATTCTCACCAGCACATTCCTGGTAATTCTTCTCTGGTAAGGACATCAGTCCTATGGGATTTGACTGCATTTAACTTTTCGGAGTAATAGGAGTTGATTTCACACAGCCTTCACACTGGGCTGAACCTCCAGACTCCTCCCTGCTTTTTAAAGACAGGTTCTTGTAAATCACTAGGTTGCCCAGGCTCCGCTCAAACTTGTGATGTTCCTGTCTCAACTTCTAGAGGTGCTGGAATTACAAGACCGCCACCTCCCCCAGCTGGCTTCGTTGAACATTACCTGTTCGAAAGCCCTATCTCCAAATATAGTTTCACTGGAGGTTAGTTCTTCAACCAGGGAATTGGGGCAGGGGCTGACTTTAATCCATCAAATTCCAGTGTCAAATTTAAACCTGTAAGAATATAGGCTCAGTCACTGTAGCATGCCCCCAATGCAGTAAGTAGTTCA